GGATGTGGACAACATGGAGAGGGTCCAGAGGAGGGTCACTCGCATGATCAGGGGGCAGCAGGGCAGACGCTACGAGGAGAGGCGACGAGACCTGAACCTGTTCAGCCTCCACAAAAGGCTGAGGGGGATCTAGTGGCCTGTTACAAACTAGTCAGAGGGGACCAGCAGGCACTGGGGAAGTCCCTGTTCCCCCAAGCACTACCAGGAGTGACCAGGAATAATGGTCACAAGCTGGCAGAGGGTACATTTAGGCTAGATATCAGGAGGCGCCACTCCACGGTCAGGGCGGCTAGGATCTGGAACCAACATCCAAGTGAAGTGGTGCTGGCTCCTACCTTGGCGGTCTTTAAGACAAGGCTAGACAAACACCTTGCTGGGGTTGTTTGACCCCAGTACTCTTTCCTGCCATGGCAGGGGGTCGGACTCGATGATCTGATCAGGTCCCTTCTGACCCTACAAACTATGAAACTACATCATGACCTACAGCTCTGAAGTCTTTTCAAAAAGTCTGTAAAGGGAACTAGACTACCGCAAACGTAAAGAAGTTAAAGTCCAATTGCTCTGAATTTGCCATTATACACAGTGATTTGTTTTTCTTATTCAATGGTTGCAGGGGTGTGGTTAAAAATAAAAAGGGAAGGAGAAAGTTCAGTAAGAAATCAAACCATAACTGAGATAAGCTCATGTAAACAAATGCCATAGGAAAGCAGTAAATCCCTCTGTCTAAATCAGTGGCAACTGAGGGACAACTGCAGTCACTCTCCTCTGTACACTCAGGTGTGGGACAAAAGGATATGCAGGATGCAGATACAGACCCAACAGATGCTGCCATTCAAAGATTTCAATCTGGTGTATATAGTGCTAATGCACACCTGAAACGGGTATCCGCATGGAAAAAATAATTAAGAAACACAGGGCCACATAAAACATACACAATTCACAAAATGAATACACAATATGGATTTAATTCTTTTTTTCTAGACAAAAAAATCCCTATTTTCACTATTCAAGGGAACTGTGGCTGTTCCCCAACTAAAAATAAGTACACAGGCTCCTAGGCGACAGTGAGAATACCTAAAGCAGGGGTGGGCAAAATGCAGCCCACCAGGCCATTCTATGCAGCCCTAAAAATACTTAGAAAATTAATATTTATCTGACCCTGGCTGCCTGTCACGCAGCCCTCGATGGCTTGCCAAAACTCAGTAAGCGGCCCTCCACCCAAAATAACTGTCCGCTCCTGGGCTAAAGCGTGACAGACTAATAAAATCTTTTAGGGACAGTAAAGCCCATGAACCTGGTAAACAAGATCTTTTACTATCAAAAGTCTACGCTAACTAACTAAAGAAAGAGCAGGGGGTAGGGCAGGGTGGCAATCTCGAGACTAACTGGTTCAGAGAGGCATGAGTGTTCACAGGCAACAACCTACTTCACCTATGCATTTAACAATACAGGTTGTTGCTTACAAAAGCTCATCTCTCTCTGAACCAGCTAGTCCCTATGGTGTCACCCTGCCCTATCTTCTACCTGGCTTCAGACTACCACCTCCCTAACCAAAGGGAGCTCCAGCACCAGACTGGAAACTGTGACAGGATCCTTAAATATTAGGTGTCCTTTCACCATCTGCTAAGTAGTCATGATTTCAATGGGGAAGAAATTTAGCCTTGAACTACAGAGTTTATCTACAGAATACTTACTTGTTTTCAAATGCAACTGTGAGGGAATCCTCATGAACATCTTTGATAAATCCCTGAAACAAAAACATCATTTAAGAATGCACTTGAACTCATTTAAACATTGGCAGCGAGATAAAAACATAGAAAAAAGCATTATACAATTTAAAACTAAAGTAAACTGCAAAACTGCATCACTAACATGGTCCAAATTTAGGAAAACAGTTAAACACGTCTATCAGTAACCCCATTAATTTCACTGGGACTACTCATGCTTGAAGTTAGGTACGTGTTCAAGAAGCTTATTGAACTATGGCCTATATAAAGAATGGCCCTAATGACCAGGCAAAGAGGGACCTTAAACCTGTTTACAACTGAAAACTCAATTTATCATTTGCACATTGATATGTTATACAAAGTTTATAGTCACAAAAGTTAAACAAGTAATAAACAAGATCCACCCTTCCCTCCTTTTTTTCCAGGCAGGAGGACTGATCTTTGGGAAAGACTGCTTATGTCAAGACCTGAGCACGGAAGACAACTTGAAACAGCTATGGCTATTTGCCACAGGGCACCTAAATTTCAGCCCCTTATCTTGTTTACTAAAGTAAGCCTATTTTTAAAACATGTTGAAAAGGATTAGAGAAGTTTCTCCAACTAGCCCTCCTTTCATTAATACCCGCTCTGAGCTTAGGGATATACAGGTCTAGGAAAGACCAATCACTTGAAAGTAACTAGAGTCCTATGGCTGTGTTAATGTGTGCCAGAAAATTCCTCTCTTCCCATCTGCTGAATCACAGCACAGATAGAGGTGTACCACTACACTGTTGTGCAACGGATCAGCACCAATAAAAGGAAAATTAACATTATCAGCTATTGCTTTTTTTTGGCTTGTGTAGCCGATAATGTCACCAATAAATAAATATGCCTTCTGGCCGGGGATCCCAGACACCACATGCATGGCATACAGCCAGGAATGCAGCCAGGAAGCGTGCAGAGCAGTGCCCTGCAGGTAAGTCTCTGGAGGGAAAGGGACGGGTGGGGGGGAAGGAAGGGGCAGATCAAGGTCTCCACACTGAGGAAGGGAGTGGGGCAGGGGGTGCTGCCAAGCCAGAGCAGTGAATGGGACCAGGGGGCGGGGAGTGAGGTGAAGCCACAGGCAACTCACCCAGGGGTGCAGGGGCATTTCCCTACTGCTGCGTGTACTCCCAGGGGACACATGGGAGGATATGCCCCCCCCAGATTTGTGCATAGGGCAGATGCAGGCTGCCCACTGTGGGCTTGGCTGCCTTTGACCTGGGAGCCAAGCGCTGGATGTGCATCCGCTGCCTGCCCAGTGGCAGCAAGTTGTGCCTCCCACAGCCAGAAGTGTGACAAGCGCGCAGCTCCTGGGGCAAAGGCAGCACAGTGGAGAGCCCCCAGCAGGCAGCCCACCTCTGCACTTGCCCCGTTCAGCTCTGCTCCTAAAGCTATTCCCATGTTTAAAAATGGTGGCAGTGGCGCTTGAACTAAAACTCATTCGACAAGCTTCAGTTCAAGTGCTCCCACTGCCGTTTAAGTGCCAGAACACCGATTGCCTGGTTGAGCCATCCCTGGCTCCATCCCACTCCCCACTCTGGCCCCAGGGTCCAATTCGCTGCCCTAGCTGGGCAGCATCCCCAGCCCCTGACCCTGACCCTAACCCACTGCCTCAGTCTGCCCCCCCCACCCCTTCCCCTCCACAGACTTACCTGCAGGACCCTGTTCTCCATTCTGTCCACCTGTGCTCCTGCAAATCAGCTATTGGACTGGAACCAGCTGATATGGCTGGTGAACAATTGGGATTGGCTAATATGGCTGGTAAGTAATCGGCTATCGGTATCAGCCAAGAAAATCTTTATCGATGCACCCCTAAATACAGCCAGTGCATTAAGTGCAAGGAGCAACCGGCTTCTAGGAGGTGGGGTGTGCCAGCACACAGAACAAAGGGCACTAGTGTCAAGATCCTCTATGACAGTTTGTCACTGCAGGGCCCCTCAATGGAGCTCTCTTCTCCCATGACCTGAACTTGCATGAAGAACAGACTTTGCTCAAAAACTTGTGTTCTGCTGTCCCCTAAAATGGTCTCAAACTCCTCGTCAACAATATAGAAGGCTGACTTGTGCTAAAGGCATAAGGGTAATGGTAATCCCTGAGGAGGCAGGTCAGCATCAGGTGTTAAACCCACCCTTGCTGAACCACCTGGTGTGCTCCTAATGAAATAATAATCCCCTTCAAAACGAGTTGCTTGCAGTGAAAGAAAGGAAATATCTTCCGTCTGTGACAGCTGAGAGATAACTGAGGAAGGTGGTGTCGATACAGGAAAATGGCCAGCAGGAGTTTTCAGTTT